CCACCCCTCCACCCTGTGCCCTGGACTTCCCCACGCTCTCCTATACTTCCCCATGCTCCCACATACTTCCTCATGCTCCTCAACACACTCCTGTGCTTTCCTACACTTCTCCGTCCTCCCCCACTCTCCCATGCTCCTCCATTCTCCCCTTTTGCTACTTTGTGCCCTCTTTAAGGTAGAGTTCCTTGCTGAGGGATCTCTCCTTCCTGCCTATAGAGGGGCAGCTGCCTTCAAGCTGGGGCTGTTTGTCATCCTACAAGTGAGATGGCCATTCAGTAGGCATAGGGCCTGGCACCACCACACTGAGCTTGCACCCCAGGACTCTACTTTTCTTTGTTCCCATTTGACTCTCTCACCAATGGAAGGGTCCAGGGCTGGCCAATGAGTGGCTTTGGGACTTACTTGAAGATCTTTGTGTTTCATTTTCTGCTGTTTTTCTAATGTACTGCCCTCTGCCAGCCATGGGCAGATGTCATGTAGTCATGCTCATCCAGGCATGCCCTGCTGAGCTCAGGCTTCTCTCTTCAAAGCTGGGTGCATCTCAGTCATCACGCCCCAGTGAGTGGCCATACCCATCTGCTCATGGGGCTTTGTCAGCACAGCTGTCTGTACTGTGCACTTTGTCTTTAAGAGTGATTTCAGGGGACTGAGTACTGTCACAGGGGAGAAAATGACCCAGGAGTGTCTGCAGGGCCATCTTCTCTTGAAGATGTGCCTTACTGAAGCACATTGGGGATGCCTGGTTGGTGCCACAGGGCATAAGGATGCTCTCACTTGGGAAAAGGTTCTTCCTGGTTGAGAATCATGCTGTTGGCAATCAGAAATAAAGCATTGCCTCATAGATTGAGGCCACAGGACTAGTCTCCCCAAGACTACTCAGTCTCCTGCAGGGAGGTCCCCTGTACCTTCTCAGCATGATCCTATCTACACCAGTTACTGTGCAGGTGACAGGTCATCTAACATCCCCATCTTGGAATGATTTAGCACCTCAGTCTCTGTGAGTTACACCTCTGATGTAGCTTAGCTGGCTGGTCTGCTGTGAAGTTGCAGTAAGTCCTGGACTTTGTTCATTTGGAGGCTCAGCTAAGGGCTGTGCCCTTGGCTGCCCAGGGAAGCCTCACTGCTAAGGACCGCTCAGTGGATTGCAGGAGCCCTTACAGCAGGCTCCTGGCTCCCTATAGAAGGCCATACGGTAGCTGCAGGACCCTTTTTCTTGGTTCTGGGGGTTGAACTCAGAACCTTGCATATCCTAGGCAAGTGCTCTTGTACTATCTCCAGCTCTACTTTACTAATACTTAGAGACAGAGTTTCCTTAAGTTGCCATGGTTAGCCTGGAACTTGTGATTCTCCTGCCTCAATCTCCCAAGGAGTTGCAATGTCAGGCCTGGGGCACCAGGCCCAACTGCTGCAGTCCTTTATGACCCAGGTTCAGCAGTCCCTGTCATTCCCACCATGTTCCACTGGTCCCATAGGCCAGGCCTGTTAAGTTGGGAGGGGCTATGTGAGACCACCTACCCCACTGCCCTTTTTCTTTCTTTTTTTTTTAAAAATATTTTTATTTTATTGTTTTTATTTTATGTGTATGAATGTATTGCCTGCATGTGTGTGAGTGCACCCATGTCATGCAATACCGCGGAGGTTAGAAGAGAGCTTCAGATTCCCTTGGAACTAGAGTTAAGGACAGTTCGTAGCTGCCATGTGGGTGCTGGGACTCGAACCCAGGTCCTCTGCAAGAGCAGTCAGTTCTCTTAACCGCCGAGCCATCTCTCCAGCCCCCCTCCCCCCGACACTGCCCTTTTTCTTACCAGTTGATAGGTAGAAAGTAACATCTGGATGTTTCTTTGGTAATCAGTAAGGTTGATCATTTACTTTTCTTCATACTTTTTATTTTTGCAATGTCTAATTAGTAAAAAGATTATCATCAAAGCCATACCAAATTGGAATACTACTCAGCAATGAAAAGCAGTGACTTATTGATTCTTGTAATAACTCAGATGAGTCTTAAGGGTACCTACCACACTGAGAAAAACTCAAATCCAGTCTCAGAAGACCAGTCATTGTGCAAGCCTAGTTATAGAACCTTCTGTTAGGGCTAGAGAGATGGCTCAGCAGTTAAGAGCACTGACTGCTCTTGTAGAGGACCCAGGTTTGGATTCCCAGCACCCACATGATGGCTAACAACCATCTGTAACTCCAGTTCCAGGAGATCTGGTACCTTCTTCTGACCTCTGTGGGCATTGCATGGAACAGGTGCACTTACATACATGCAGGCATAACACTCATACACATTATTAAAAAAAAAAAAAAATGACCCTTCTTTCAGTACAGTACAGTTGTAGAGACTGGTGATATCTGGGGGCAGGGAAGACAGTGTGGGGGATTGCTTGACCACAGAATGGGTCTATGGTGATGAATGTGTTCTATTCTGATTGTGGTGGCTGCAGGAAGTATCATGGGGTGAGAGCTGGGAGGGGGGGCTGTTCTGGAATGATGTTAGCAGGGTTGTTCTGTATGATGTAACCTCCAGGGGATTGGGGTCAAGGGACATGGGCATTCCCTGTGCCATCCGCCCACCTTCCTGCCAGCTTGATTACTTCATCAGAAGCTTCTTTGAGTGGGGAAGCTCTCCTAGTGAGGATCCTGCAGCATCAGAGCCTGGCTTCTGCCCAGCCTGGCTTTCCCACAGAGCCATGCCAGCCTGTGTCTTGTTCTGCATCTCCCATATCTCTGGTGTTCTCCTGGGCATGGGTTGATCACTACCTTGACACAGCTGACTCAGGTCCCTTCCTTTTATGATGACCTGTGCATAAATTGTTCTTGGTCTCTTCCCAGGGGAAGGCAGAGAGGAAATTGTGAAGGTGACTTTTGAAGAGCTGCGACAGCAGGTGGCTCTGTTTGCAGCAGCCATGAGGAAGATGGGTGTGAAGAAAGGGGACCGTGTGGTTGGTAAGGGCCTTTCCTTCCTCCCTCCCTCCCTCCTTCCTTCCTTCCTTTTTCTTTTCTACCTAAGTGCCTTTTAGTGCTGTGATTATTTAGGGGAGGAGACCAAGGCTGAACAAAGACCTTGAAGGTGGAGGAACTTTTGAAAATGTGGAGCCATGAATAGAACACACCGTGTGACTTCAGCTACACACATGAGGGAGAGGTATACCTTTCATCCCAGCATTCCAGAGGCTGAGGCAGGAGGGTCACGAGTTCCAGCTCGAGCTATAGAGGGAGATCCAGCTTCCAGCTTCAAAAAAAACCCAAAAAACAAAAACAAAAAAACCCCAAAAAACCAAAAAACCAAAACAATACAAGATAAAAAAGTTTTAAAAGGGGCTGGAGCAATGGCTCAGCAGTTAAGAGCACTGGCTGCTTTGCATGGGACCTGGGTCTGTCCGTAACTCCAGTTCCAGAATCTCCAAGGCCCTCTTCTTCTTGCCTTTCTGGACACTATACAACACAGGTATATACTCTCTCTCTCTCTCTCTCTCTCTCAGGACCTATGTGTTTATTTTGAAACAGAGTCTCCCAACTCAGTCTCCTCAGTGCTAGAATGACAAATGTTCATCATCCAGCCTTGGATGCATTATGAGATATTTATTTATTTATTTTATTATTATTTTGGGGGGTGGTCTTTTTGAGACAGGGTCTCCCTGTAGCCCCAGCTGGCCTGGAACTCACTATACAGACCAGACTGGCCTTGAACTCACAGAGATCTGCCTGCTTCTGCCTCTCGAGTACAGGGAATAGGTGTAGGCCACCTATTCTTATTCTATGAGGGACAGGAATTGTCTTCCATTCTGTTTTTGGACATCCAGGTTCGAGGTTGTACAGTTGGTGGTGTTAACAGAAGTGTGTTTAGAAGTTAGCACTTCATTGAGGCAGTGTGGTAGGATCAAAGAGCAGCTGGGCACTGGTCTGTTCAGGTATCTTCCACCTCTACCTGCCTCACCCTGAGTTTTTCTTTTTTTTTCAAATTTTATTTATTATTTTTATTTTATGCATATGCATGTATTGCCTCCATGTAGGTAAGTGCACCCGTGTTGTGCCATGCCCATGGAGGTCAGAAGAGGCTGTCAGATCCCCTGGGACTGGAGTTATAGACAGTTGTTAGCTGCCATGTGGGTCCTGGGATTCGAACCCGGGTCTCCTGCAAGAACAACCAGTGTTCTTAATCGCTGAGCCATCTCTCCAGCCCCCACCCTGAGTTTTTAAAAGCCCTGTTCCTTCTCACTGTCCTCTGCACCTTGGTCGCAGGGTGGAGAAAGATGAATAGATCCTAAAGCAGTAGGAGCAGGCATAGGGAGCCTCTGGACTGGGATGGGGAAGGTAGAGTAAGTGTGCAGAGGTGTGGGGAGTTGGGGGCTGGGATATGGGGAGAGGTTGGGTATATGTTTGGGGGAGCTGATATCAGGGGCTTATTGGGGACTGTTGCTTAAGATCCATACTGAAATCTGCATGCCTGGAGGCCTGGCCCTTCCTCCCTTCAGGTGGCGCCATGCTTCCCTAAGAGTAGCTCAGCCACTTTCTGAGAAGCATGAATTCCTGTGGGGAGCCACTTTGTACCCAACAACTTCAATTAATTAGCAGCGGGAAGGATGTGTGCCCAGGCCAGCTGCTCATTCAGGGCAGCTGGAGCTCAGCCCTCCACCCACAGTGGGACACAGGCAAGGGCAATGGACCGAGAAGCTGTGTACCTCTCTCTAGGGGCCTGACCTCCAAGCAGCGGCCAGCTTGTGTTTGCAGAGGGTGAGGCTGCAGCCACCTGACAGGGTCCAGGCTCAGGGCTGGCCCTGGAACCCTGTGGCTCCTTCTGAGACACTGGGCAGGATCTGGAGTAAGCTCAGCGTGCACTGACTGACTGGAAAGCTTGTTTTACTTGTTTTACTCTGCCCTTGTGTCATCTCTTCTGTGTCTTTCTTGGTTTGTACATCAAGGTACCCAAATCCTTCCTCCTTGAGGGGCCACTCTTGAGATGCTTTGGCAGATCCCTCACCACTCTTAGATGCCAGCTTGATTTTTCTGTTTAGGGCTCACTGCCCCGATGTCACCTTGATGCTGTGTATCTGCCCTGCAGTCCCTGGGGATAGGCTCTGCCTATGTCCCCAAAGATAGATTCTGTTTCAGTTCCCTGCCTGACTCGGCCTATGGAAGGCCCAGCACACAGTTGGCAGCTGATAAGTAGCTGTTGAGTGTTGAGTGTGGACTGGGCCAGTGTTCTGTGTAGACTTTCATTTGTTTGTTTGATTTTTGGTCTTTTTGAGACAAGGTCTCTCCCTGTAGCCACAGCTGGCCTGGAAATTGCTATGGAGACCATGCTGACCTTGATTTCACAGAGAACTGCTTGCCTCTGCTTCCTGAGTGCTGGGATTAAAGGTGTATGCCACTATACTGCCCAGCTCTTGTTTGTTTTTTGTTTTTTTTGAGATAAGCTCAAACTGTCCTGGAACTTATGATTCTTTTGTGTCAGCCTTCTAAATATTGTGGCCACAGGCATGTGCCACCATACACAGCTAGGACAGGCATTTGAGGCTGAAGCCTTACTTTTCTTGGTCCTATTTAAACTGTCACTTTTTAAGGTCTAGCAAGGGAATGTAAAAAGTTCTCTAACATTTTTTTACCTCCAGTTTGTTTTGCGGTTGTTGGATTGGCACCCAGGGCCTGTGCTTGGCAAAGCTCCACCAGTGAGCCATGCCTTAGCCCTTATTTACATTTTTTCAAATCTGTTTGTAGCAGGTGTTTCTGAGAGAAGGGAGAAGAGAGCAGGAGTACCTGGGGGGTATTTGAAGCCCCTCCTAGGACTGACTTTCCCTGGGGAAGTGCAGGCTCCAATGGCCAGGCTCTTCAGTCAGGCTAGCATGAGGCCTGGCCTGCTATTCTTGTGATTATCAGTCTGCGTCTAGTGTGCACTGACCATAGCTCCACTACGGGTTCTGTGCTTCCCGGAAGAGAGCATGAGAAAGTGACTCAGGCATCAGTGGCACAGGTGTCTGCAGGTCTTAGAAGTTAAAGGTGTTCACAGCTGTTTTCTTTTGCTTGTGACGTGGTCTCTACAGTTGGCCTGCTGGCTCAGGAGAAGGGCATACTGCTTGTCATTTGCTGGTTACCAGGAGTCAGCTGGATGGTGCACTCCCCTGGCCAGTGAGTCTGGCTTCTCCAGGAAACAACACTGACAGGCCCTTCATTCTGCTCACAGCCAAATAAGCTCTTCTACAATGGAGTCTGCCCCAGCGAACACCAGAGGATCCCTGTGGGCTTGAGTGGATGGTGCTTGAGCCCTGCCCATGAGTGCCTGTGGACTAGCAGGGACACATGAGCTCAGGGAATCAGAGTGCAGTCTGTGTCTCTCAGGAGAGGCAGGGAGAGGGCCATGGTGGGCACTTGGCCATGGCCTTTCTCCTGAGGCCTGTATGGAAGTCTTTCCTATAGAGCTTTGGCGTTGTTTCATTAATGGCAATCCCTTTGGCCATAGATGTTCTCTGCCTCCCTGTTGATGGGTTCTCCCCAAATTTGCCTGCGGGTGTGCTCACCTGGCCTATATCCTCCTCTATCCCTCTTTCATCCACCCATCTTCTAGCCAGCATATATCTAAGGAAATGCCGGGCATGCTAAAGCCATGGGCAAAGCAAAGATGAAGACAGGTGAAGTCCTCACCCTCATGTGAGAACCAATATTAGTCATCCATGCACAGGTGTATTCATGTGCTGATACAGTGTAGGTGACTAGCTTAAGGTGTGTGCACTGAGTGTGGAAGGCTGATGTGTGTGCAGGTGTGTTTAAGTAGAATGGCTTGTGCAAAGGCCCAGAGACGGGGGAGCTTAGAACAACTGAGGAATTGAGTGAGGGACATGAGTTCGGGTGGGAGTGGGGCTTGGGGGGATCTGTTCTTAGGAGTTGGCATACAGGGGTCTCTGTGATTAGAGTGTGGAGAATGGACTGGGTGGAGATTGTGAGTAGACAAGTTGATGATTCTGCACCTCAGGTACCCCAGGCCTCTGTTCAATTCCCACACTGGTCCCACTCTCAGAGAAACTTCTGGAAATCTCTTGCCTTGACTACTTAAATCCACCCTCTCCTGGACAGGTTATCTACCCAACAGTACACATGCTGTGGAGGCCATGCTGGCTGCTGCCAGTATTGGAGCCATCTGGAGCTCTACTTCGCCAGACTTTGGTGTGAACGTGAGTTGGGGTCCTGTGGGAGGGGTGATATTGTATCAGTGCCCCCAGTGGGGCGAGGGTGGGAACCTCTAGGGGGTGTTTGTGGCAGTGCAAGCAGAGCTGTGAGTAACAATGTATCTCAGCTCCTGTTTCCTTGGGCAGTGATGAAAGGGAGGAGGAAGCCAGTGTCGAATGCCCCCCAAGCCCACCAGGCTTGGGTCTTCAACAAGAAAGGAACTCAGACAGTAGTCTGAGTTTTGTAAGACTTTATTTACAGAAAGGCACCTACAGGCAGGAGAGAACTCTCCAGTAGGAAGATTCTACTGAGGGGTCCCACAGGTCCCTTTTATCCGGCCCGGACTTTGGGTTACCCAGGTGTATTTTCCTAACAGAAACAAAAAGGGTACTGTGGATACAGCACGTAGCTGCATCTTCTGGTGCTCGCAGACCGAACCGAAACTAACTTTCTAGAAGACCTGAAGCAGAGAGCGCAGAAGCTCTTAAAGTGACACTCTCCTAATTTCCAATGCTTATGGCAAGCATGGCTCCCGACAAGCCAGCAGGACGAAGTAGTCCAGTCTTGTCTTCCGTACTGGGGATTGGATGCAGGGCCTCATAATACACTCACCATTACTATTATTCCTCAAGTAGACTGTGGCTGTTCTGACCTTGGGTTGGGCTCTCTGTAACCAATGGACCATGGCCCTTCTGTGGAAAAGTGCCATAGCAGCAGAGACCCATCCACTTGGAACACTCTTTCCAGGAGTGTCCTGGGCATCATGGACCCACATGGGCCAGGAGGACAGGCATTGTTGGACACATGGTACTCATGCTAGCTACTTTCCTGGTGCTAGCTGCTTCTGATCTGTGTGTCAGTATAATTGGCAGCTGAAGGTTGGCCTGGTCTTGCTGGCCCCATTTGGGTAGGTTATCTATCCTCTCTGTGTCTCAAGGTTTAGCATCTGTGAAATGGGCTGCAATGAGATGGGTACATGGTACCTTAGCTGATGTGACTTAGAAGTTAATAGACTATTAGAGCAGGGGCGCTGAGGTCGTGGTGTGGTACCACCACCACCCCTGGTTTATTCTTAAGGGGCAAGCCTGAGAACTCACAACTGCTTTGAGGTCTGCTTTCTTGGCAAAGGCTTTTGGGCTGTTACCTCATCTATCTCTCCGTGGAGGAGGAGCTGGGCACAGAAGCCTGGAAGAGGATAGCTTGCCCAGGATTCCTCACTTTACTCCATGGCCCCGTGGACTGAGGTGAACATGGCTGCTCACAACTCCCTACGCAGTGGCTGGATGCAAATGTTTCCTGCCCCTGGAGCCTCCTGTGTCCTTTCCTACATCCCCTCAGCTTGGGACTGCCTAAGGTCAGCAAGGACTGGCCTGAGACCAAAACCCTATAGGGGGCTCCCAGGTCCAGTGTCTTCTGTGGGGGCACGCTGCATGAACTATTTGGGGCCCACAGAGTTCTTGTGAGATGGTCCAATAAGGCAGCCCTGGACATTGTTGCTCTTGGGTCCTTCAGAGCAGGTGGCTAAGGATGATGAGGCAAAAGGGTCTTTGGGTGTTAGGCTACTCAGACTGTCTACTCAGGGTTCAGAGCCTGGGTCCAGAACCCAGGGTCCTGGGATGGACAGTGTACCTGCAGGTACCAGGTGGACATGGAAGGCCTGTGGGGCTCCTGCCCTGCTTGACTATGGGGTCATAAGTGTTGACTCTTGCTGACTAGGAGGGATAGAATGCTTTGCCTTCAGAGCTGGGGTAGCCATGTGTGACATAGGAACCACAGACCAGAGGCAGAGCTGTGGAGCTTACCACTAAAGGCAGAAAGAAGGGAGAAGGGGAGTGCCCCTCAGTAGCCCTTTTGGCTCACACCTGTTCCTACGGCTGGCCCAGATGTCACCACTAGAGGCTTCCTGTGACTCCAGAGGACTATGTGGGACACCCTTTCCTGGCTCTTTGTCCCAGATGTTTGAGTCATAGCTGCAGGCTGCTGGTCCTGTGTGTAATCCTTGCTTTCTGACATGGACACTAGGGGGCAGCAGGGCTCTGCTGCCCTCTATTATGGGGGGTGGCTCTGGGAAGACTGCAGGACTCTGGCTGCATCTCAGGGCCCTGCCTTCCTGCTTCTCACCTCCAGGTCTGGGGAGACTCACCTTTCACTGTTTCTGTTCCATGTCTTAAGCAGGAAATGAGCTTAGAGCCACCTGGAACCTGGAACAGATCCTTGGCCAAAGCTGCTGCTCTGGTCCTGTCTGCCAGACATCTGTGTTCAAGGTGAAACCAGCCAGGAGGAGATTTTGGAGCGAGCTGTAAAGAATGGGGAGCTGAGCAGAGGCTGAGCCCTTAGCTCATGCACCAGGCAGGCTCTGCTTTTCCTTGTAGAGAGGGGGCACCCTATCTTAGATGTTCATTACCTGCTACTTTTTTTGGCGAGGGGGGTCTTTTTGAGACAGGGTCTCCCTGTAGCTTCAGCTGGCCTGGAACTCACTGTGTGGACCAGACTGGCCTTGAACTCACAGAGATCTGCCTGCCTCTGCCTCCCAGTGCTGGGATTAAAGGCATGTATTACCACACTTGGCTGTACTCCCTCCTTGTTTTTTTTTAAAAAAAAAAAGTATTTTTATGTGTATGAATACATGCCTGCATGTATGTATATGCACCATGTGTGTGCAGTACCCACAGAGGCCAGAATAGGGCATCAGATACCCTGGAACTGGAGTTATAGAAGGTTATGGATGGAGGGAACAGAACACAGGTCTTCTGCAAGATCAGCCAGTGCTCTTACAATGAGCCCTTTCCTCAGGCCCTCATCACTCCCTTTTTAAGCTCGTCAGGCACTTTCTGAAACCCATGATGCAAAGTGAGTATCTTTCCTCTTTTGACTCATGACTTCTGCTGCCAATCACTGAGAGTCTCCATGGTCCACTGTGGGGGACTTGGGTACCCTCACAAGTCCTCACAGTGTGGCAGACTCCAAATCCAGTGGTGACCCCAGCTGGTACAAGTGGTGCAGTTTCCTTACTTTTTTTGAGACCAGATATAGCCCAGGCTGACCTTGAACTCATTATGTATTTGAGGATGACCTTGAACTTCTGGTCATCCTGCCTCTACCTCCTGAGTGCTGGGATTACAGGTGTATCCCACCACTTTCAGTTTATTTTATTTTATTATTTTATTATTATATTTTTTGGTCTTTTGAGTCAGAGTCTCCCTGTAGCCTGGAACTTGCTATAGACCAGGCTGACCTTGAACTCACAGAGATCCACCTGCAGAGGCCTCTGAAGCACTGGGATTAAAGGCGTGCCCTACCACGCCCAGCCACTTCCAGTTTTACAGTGCTGGGGAAGGGCTTCATGCATGCTTGAAAAGTGTTCTGCCAGCTGAGCCCCAGCCCTAGCCCCAACCCTGGTTTTGTTCTTCTCTACTCTACAGTAGGGCAAGGCCCAAGGAGGAGGATTCACCTGCCCACAGTGGGTGTTGGTGCTCCTTGCCTGGTGATTGAGCTGAGGTGATTGAGGAATCCTCTGGCCATGCCCTTGTTGTGGGTTGCTTCAGGGTAAAGTATGAGACATCTGTCTCTGTAAGACATTTCTCTGACTTGTACCAGGCCCTCTGCCTTCTTGGGCTTGTCCTGGCCTCCCCAACACCCTGTTCCTGCCATTGGCCCCACTGCCTACCACTACTCTCCTGTGCCTGGGGTCCCACCCTGTGTTAGCTCTAACCTGGGAGGCCCCATATGTCATTGCTCAGAGGCCATTGCCCAGTGAGAGGTGCCTCACCAGCACCTCCTAGTGCTGCACTAACCAACAGCTTTGGGTTTTTCCTCTCCTGCTTCCATCTGAGCTGGTGATAGTTTCAAAGACATTGGGGAGGCCACCCTCAGACCCACATGCTTAGGAGTCTAGCCTGCAGCCTCAGTCTTCACTTCAGGTAGCTGAGTATTTATGTGCATGTAAATAGGACAACCACTGTCATTCTTCTTGTATCTGTGCTGCCAGTTTCAATGCCTGAGTGGTTGTTAAGCCCATATTCAGGCCAGACCCATGATGGTGGCGGTGCTCATTACTCTGTGGACCCCAGCAGACCCACTGCTCTTGTTTATGCTCATCTCTCTACCATACCTGACCAGCTGAGACAACTGCCCTGCTCTGACTTAGAAACACTTGTCCTCTTTGCCATCTGGTCGCTGTCACTTAATGGGTTATCTCTGTGACATTTGGCCACCTGTGAACTAGGATGACCCTCTGAGATGCTGAACCCTGCCCTAGAAGGCCCTGTCACCTACTAGTTCCCTCCTAGGTTGGCTCCTTCCCAGTTTCACTGGCCTCAGACTTCTAGCTGGCATGACCTTTCTTCTGTCTAGGCCACCCTCTCCTGCCTCATTCCTGGATGGCAGGGGCCCCATGCTGGGAACAGCTGCTTCTTCCCCTGCTTCACTGGTAGTAGAACTCGCTTGTTCATGACCTGAAGCTTCTGGGGGTCTTGGTTGTAGGGTTCCATTCTGGGTGCTGATTTGGTTTGCCTGGGTGTCTCAGCACCTGCTTGCCTCCTGTTTTCTTGGCTTCAACAGAGGTGGTCCAATTGTTGGGAGCCCCAGCAACCAAGATCCTTGGCACCTGGATGGGACTGGTCAGGCTGCTGTCTCAGCTGGCTCTTTGGCAGGCTCTGTATAAATTCCTTAATTTGGTTGTTCCTCCTTGGGAAGATGAAGTCAGTGATGTTCCCCCTTCTTCTGTAACAAGAGCCAAAGGAGCATGTGTCTGTGACAGCTTAATGCAGGTCTGCAGGTTGAGCTTCCGACCAATGTTAGATATTTTTACTGGCAGCCATTTTCTTACCAGCTATGCCAAGGACTCTTAAGTTACTCAGCATTCTCTAAAGGAGAACTGACAATATGAATACACACACACACACACACACACACACACACACGGGGATTTATTAGATTGGCTTACAGGATAGGATCTGTGTAGTCCAATGATGACTATGCCACACTGGAGAGGCTAAGAATCTGGTAGTTGTTCAGTCCATAAGGCTGAATGTCTCAGCCATCCCAATCTGGCACTGAAGGCCTCGGGAATTCCTGGAGAGCTGCTGAACTTCAGTCTGTGTTGGAATCCGAAAAAGTTGGTTCTAATATTGGCAAGGGAATGCCATAGCAACAAGTGAGAGAGAAGGCAAGTAGGCAAAAGGCAAGAACTCCCTTCTGCCATGTCCTTTTATATGGGCTGCTTCCAGAAGGTGCTACCCACATTTAGGGTGAGTCTTCTGGCTTCAGAAAATCTGATCAAGAAAGTTTCTCACATTTTAGTCAGTTCCAGATCCAGTCAAGTTGACACCCAAGATCAGCCATCACAGTCTCTCAGTTCCTGTTTGAATCTCAGGTGCAGAGTGACGCCAGGGTGCTGGTGCCCATGTAGTTATATACTTCTACAGCAGAGGCCCAGAAAGGCTCCTGCGTCTGTGATGCAAGAGTTCCAGAGTCCTGGGGTATTGGGGAACCCTTTGTGTATGGACGAATGAGGCTGGAGGGAGTGAGGTGCAGAGTACCATTGTTACTGCACCCAGCCTCTGGGTGCTTAGCACTCCAAAGCCATTATCTGGGAGGCAGGAGTTGGAAAGGAATGAGTTTTATTTGAAGATGGACACTCTGGAGGATGGAGAGGGCTGCTGCCTCCAAAGCTCCATCTTGGGAGAGTCTCAGATGTAAAGGGGGCTTTTGTAGGGTGGGAAAGGAGGACTAGAGCAGGAAGGCTGGGAACTAGCAGGACTATATCATCCAGGGTGAGTCTCTTGTTTTCTTCTTCTCTGACCAGAGTGTCACAGTGGACTTCAGGAACCTCCTGGGGCTAATAACTCCTTAGATTATTGAAGGTGTGATCTCACAGTGCTGTCCACACTTGAGTTCACTGATGCACAGGACTGGACACTGAGGGTGTTAACACATTCTGATGGGATCCGGAGGTCACTCTATGTTCTGGGTTATGAATCTGAAGGAAGGTTATTTAGCAGGTAGCATCTTGGCATCCTTTTAGAGTAGAGTGCAAAAGGGCAAAGGGGACAGGATGAGACCCTTGCCCAAGGACTAGCTAGCACAAGGGAAAGTAACTTTGGAGGATTGCTTCCACGGAGGGCTGTTCCCAGGCCAGGTCCCAGGCCCCGCAGCCAGCCAGGAGGAACAAAAGCTATCACAGCTTAGAGTAGGTTGGATGTGCTATGCCCATATTTGCACAGAAACAGTCTCAGAGATAACCTGAGAGACAGTCAGGTTTGCCTTATCACACCTAAAAGATCAGTTCTCCTGTGACAGGAAGGAGATTGAGGGAAAGCATCTTGTGACCTTAGGTAAGTGGGACTTTGTGTCCCTCCAGGAAGAATGGGACTTGCTTTCTGAGGGCATGTCTAGTATAGAGCTGGGGAGATGGGGCTCCTCTGGAAGCCTGTTCCAGACTGTGGTCAGGTGCTAGTCATGCAGGTGGAAGCTTCCAGCTTATGTTTCCTGCTCTTTGAAGTTGGTGTTCTGGGAAGGTGGATTGGGTGGAATACTCAGGAGCTCATTCACAATCAGGAAGGCAGTTTCTGGACACCCTTTCTTGTCTTTGGTGATCTGGGGCAGAGTGTAGTTAGTGTCAGTACCTAGGTGGGTCAGCCGGTGGCCTACAGAGTCCATAGCTAGAGCCTGTGCAGCCACATGGAGTGGAGATGAAGGGGAAACCAGTCTTTGCTGGCAAGCATTGCTGTGGAAGGATGATACCATGCAGTGGAGGCTTGAAGTTTGAAGGCCGGAGGCCAGAGTCCAGGTTCCTGTCTATTGTGTGTCCATGGTGGTGACGCTGACCAGTGTTGCATTTGGACAAACCCAATCAACCAAAACAAGAGAGAGGGGCTTCAGGGGTGTTATGGAACCTCTCAGCTGCTCTTCACAACTCGGGGCTTTCCTCAGGAGCAGAGAAAATGCTAGAGTAGGGCCTGGTGCCTGGGGCTTCCTCCTCACCTCTTGCAGGGTGTGTTTAGCTAGCGACAGCACTACTGGGTCATTGTGCTTGATTTACAGAGTTGCCAGCCTCCCTCCTCCGTGACACTGAGCTTATAAATGCAAACTGCATTTCTGATTCTGAATTTGTGTGATTGTATGCCTCAGTTTCTCCATCAGCAACATGGGGTGATCAGAGAGTCTTCAAGTTGCTGTTCATGCTGAGTGTCAGTACTGTGCTACACCCTAAGGGCTGTGCAGTGTCCACCAGGGGTACTGACTTTGTTGTTGATCAGATTTGTAAAACGTGGTGGCACATGCCTTTAATCCCAGCACTTGGGAGGCAGAGGCAGGTGGATCTCTGTGAGTTTGAGGCCAGCCTGGTCTCCATAGTGAATCCAGGACAGCCCTCTTTTTTTTTTTTTTTAAAAAAAAAAAAAAAAAAAAAAAAAAAAAAAAAAAAAAACCCATTTAGTTTTATTGGGAAAAATAGAGGTTTTACCAGTGAAGTCTGTCATTATAATTCCTTTTATTTTGTTTTAATTTTGTTCTTAAACTTCATTGTTATGTATTGTTTTTATGTGTATATGTGGGCACATGTGCTACAGAGTACAAGTGAAGGTCAGAGAACAGCTTGTAGAGTCAGTTCTCACCTTTTACCTTTTCATGGGGTCCAGGGATTGAACTCAGGTCATTGGGTGTGTGCTGCAAACCCCTTTACCCACTGAGCCATCTCACCAGCCTATTTTGTTTATTTATTTATTTTTGATTTTTTGAGAGTCTCCCTGTAGCCCCAGCTGGCCTGTAGAGCAGGCTAGGCCTCGCTATCACAGAGCTCCATCTACCTCTGCTGTCAAGTGCAGGGATTAAAGGAGTGTGCCACATGTCCAGCCCATGTCTATTTGCTTTTTAAAAAAATATTTTATTTTATTTTTTGGTCTTTTTAAGACAGGGTCTCCCTGTAGCCCTAGCTGGCCTGGAACTCACTATGTAGACCAGGCTGGCCTTGAACT